CTTCCGATCTGGACGGAGGGAGGGAGGGAGGCCCCGCAGCGACAGGCCTGAAATGGCGGCGCCGGCGCCAGGAGGCCCCGCTCTGGTGACTGCAGGGCTGGGGGGGCAGCACAGCCCCTGGGTCCCATCCTGCACCGTCACGGAGGTGCTGCCACCGCGCTCGGCTCCCAAGGGGGTGGTGCTGTGCCAGCCGTGCGCAGAGCCAGGCCTGGCATGGCCCGGCACAGTGCAGCCCAGCATGGCATGGCACAGTGTGGCACAGCACGGTACAGCCTGGCATGGTGTGGCATGGTGTGGCACAGCCTGGCACAGTGCAGCCCGGCACAGCATGGCACAGTGTGCCATGGTGCAGCACAGCAGCCTGGCATGGCATGGCACAGTGCAGCCCAGCATGGCATGGCACCATGTGCGGTGGTGCGGCGCAGTGCAACCTGGCACAGCATGGCACAGTGTGGCATGGCACGTTGCAGCCTGGCACAGTGCAGCCCAGCACAGCATGGCACAGTGTGGCATGGCACGTTGCAGCCCGGCATGGTGCAGCCTGGCACAGTGTGGTGCAGCCTGGCACGCTGTGGTGCAGCCCGGCACGGTGCAGCCTGGCACAGCACGGTGCAGCACAGGGGCAGCCCCCACACTTGCTGCCCCGGGCCGGGGCCCTGCAGCACGTCCCTCTGTGCTCGCTCGGACCGTGGGCTACCTCTGTCCTGGCTCAGGATGCGCAGCAGCTCCCGGGCGCTTTGTACCCACCACTGCCCGCTCTGACTCGCCATCCTGTGTCCTCGCAGCAATTCTGCGCCCTGACCGACGTGCTCTTCCGCTTCCTCACGGAGCCCAAGGAGGTGAGGCCACGGGAGGCTCCAGGCTCCCCAAGGAGCGGGGCCCGGAGCGCCCGCAGACATGGCCCGACGCTCCGGCTCTCTCCTGAGCAGGTGGAGAGGTTTCTGGCCCAGCTCTCGGACTTCGCCACCATGAACAAGATCAGCCTGGGCCCTCTGAAGAGCATCGTCAAGAGTGTCCTGCTGGTGCCCAGCGGTAAGGGACCCCGGCCCGGTGCCCAGCACGGCCCGTGTCCATGCATCCCCAGTGCTATGGGGCACTTCCTCTGCACAGTGGTAGCTCATCGAGGATTTAGCATTTAAGAATGAAAAACGAATTGTTGAAAATTCCCTAATCGCAGTCCTGTTAAAGCATCCCGCTGAGTCAGACTTTGACTTTCTGACAGAACCTGCACACAGGTTTAACTGAACTCACTTCCATTCATTAAATTCATTATTCTTTAAATGTGCATACATAGTGTCACTGCAATGAGCTTGATCTAGCCTATAAATCCACATGCTTTGTTGCACCAGGTCAAACTTAACTAAATATTAGTGGGTGCTGCTGTCTCAGCGACCCAGCGCGGCAGCTCCCACAAGGACAACGTGCTGCTCGAGGCAGGGGTCAGTGCGTGCACCGCTCTGGAGCAGGCTGGAAAGCACCGTAGTCCCAGGTCACATAAATAAGATATTCGTCCTAGAAGAACACTTTGGTGTCCAGGGCTTTCTCATTCATAAATAGTGAGGGGGTCCCTCTGGGCACCCTGGCCCGGCTGTAGTGCTGGGTCGGGTTGTGCTGGTGGTCTGGCTGCCAACTGATGGATAATGCGACAACCACCTCTGCTCCAGGTCATCCCATTGACCCCCCTGTATTAATAGTCTCCTTACCTGTATCCCCTAGGCCTGTGGGGGCTATGGCAAAGCCCCCAGGAGAGCTTTCCCATAGCTCTCCTCACAACCACGCACAACTTTTTTTTTTTCAGGTCTAAACTTTCCTCCTACTGCTTTGAACCATTTCTTCTGTCCAGGAGAAGCTCTGGATAATTTCCTTTCCTACAACTGTTTTTTAGGCATTTAATCTGGAACAGGCCCTTTCCCCCTTCCTGCAGTCGGTACCTTTCGCCTCGGCTCCAAGCTCCCGCTCCCACGCGCTATCTCCGATCCTCCCGCAGCTCCTTGGCTCCGGGCTGCGCAGCCCCATCAGAACGCATTACAGCGGATACCTTTGCTAGGAGCCGCGCGGGGCCGGCAGTCCCTTTGAATTTATGAGATTCCTGCTCCTGCCTTTGGAGAAGGGGATCCTTGTAAACTCCCATGTGCTGCCCGGCGCAGAACAAAGGCGCCGCACGCACGTGTTCACACCCCGCATCCCAAACACAGCAGGTAGGGCAAATTAGCAGCCCGCCGGCCTTAGCGGCTCTTCTTTAACAAGCAAAGCTTCCATAGGAGAAAGAGCAGCAACTTCAAAACAAGGCTGCTGCTGCCGTTTCCATGGATACCTGCAGGGAAAGCTCCCTCTCTCCAGCTTTTCAACCCGGGACTGACTCTTACAGCAAAGGCATCTGCAAAGACCGCAGCAGATGCAACCGTGTTTTGGCAACCTGCGGTTTGTTTCAAAACACAGCCCAGGAGCAGAGCTTTTCTATTGCGGTGTCTCCATCTCTACATTTATTTGACCCCATAAAGGCTGTTTTGACTCGATAAAAACTCATTTTTCTTCTCTGCGTTGTTTACTCAGGTGCCCTGAAGAGGAATCTGTCTTCCGAACAAGTCCGGGCAGATTTTATTGCTCTAGGTAGGTCACCTGACTTTCACTCAATAAAAGCTATCTAATATTTATCATATAGTAATCCCATATGGTTTCTCCCCCAGGACTCAGTGAAGAGAAAGCCAGCTATTTTGCAGAACAGGTATTAATATTTTTTGATTGTTTCTAAATTAACAAAATAATGAGCTTGGAGCAGGAACTTGTAAAACCCCAGTGTGATAGTGGGATGTACCAGGACTTTGGGCAATTGTGTCAAAAGCAGCTCTGAACCCTGAACAGCAGATCCTAGGGCAAGTGGTGAGAAACACTTGGACTAATGGTGCTTCTGGCTTGGTGTGGCCTGTACTGCCGGCTCCATCTTCCCGCCTCCCGCGATTCCGCGGAGCTTCCATTGGATTGCTCTGCTCCTTCGCATGCTTTGAGCCCAGTTACACCAACACCTGACTTTTTGCACAGACAGTGCTGCACTGAACAAGTGGTAAAACAAGCAAACGATCAAAACAAGACAACTTGCAGAAGTGCCAAGCAGGTGGAGCTCCTAGCAGGACTCAAAACATCTTTGAGCGCCCTCCCGTCTGCATTAGCTTGTCCCTTTACACTCATCCACCCGGGGCTTCTGCCACGACTCAGACTAGCCCCAGGTTTGTAACAAGTAACACAAGTCAAGGTCATCCTGAAGGGGTTGTTCATGTGTCTTTTGCTCCTGCAGTGGAAGCTGAACTCCCCCGCTCTGACCCGGCTGGCTGTTAGTCAGACACTGATGATTAACCAGCTGATAGACATGGAGTGGAAGTTTGGAGGTAACAGAGCTAAAAGACAAACTGAATGTGGAGAAGGGTGCAGATGCAGGGGCTGAACTGCAGCGGCAGTTCTTGGCCAAAGAACTTCTTATTTTGCAGTTTGGGTAACAGGTTATCTCCCCTCTGTCCTTTCTGCCCCGCAGTGACTGCTGGCAGCAGCGAACTGGAGAAAGTGGGAAGTATCTTCTTACAGGTAAGTGTCCACGCTGCAGCTCAGGTCGTAGCGCAGCTAAGGTGCAAGCAAAGAGCCGGCGTGCGGGTGGCGCCAGGCCCCGGGCAGCACGTGGCCCTGCTGGTCTCTGCAGCGCC